GACAGAAGCTGAAGAGCAGCATGAGAAAAAAAGTCAGTTACCTACAAGGGAGTACCCATACAACTGTCAGCTGATTTCTCAACAGAAATTATGCAGGCCAGAAGGGAGTGGCAAGAAATATTCAAAGTGATGAATGCCAAGAACCTACAACTAAGATTACTGTACCCAGCAAAGCTATCATTTAGAATTGAAGGTCAGATAAAGAACTTCACAGATAAGAAAAAGCTAAAGGAGTCCATCACCACCAAACTAGGATTATATGAAATGCCAAAGGGTATTCTTTAAGAAGAGGAAGAAGAAGAAAAAGGTAAAGATAAAGAATTATGAACAACAAAGTGACAACAAATACGTATCTATCAACAAGTGAATCTAAAAATCAAGTGAATAAAAAATCTGATGAACAGAATAAACTGGTGAATGGAATAGAATCAGGGGCATAGAAAGGGAGGGGACTGATAATTCTCGGGGGGAAGGAAGTGTGGGGGTGCGGGAAGAGACTGGACAAAAATCGTGCACCTATGGATGAGGACAGTGTGGTGGGGGGGGAGGGGGGGCGGAGGGTGGAGAGGTATGGGCGGGGGGGAGAGGAACAACTGTAATAATCTGAACAATAAAGATTTATTAGAAAAAAACTGGCAAGAGATTTGAACAGACATTTCACCAAAGATATGTGAATGACAAGTACACAATGAAAAAATGCTCAACATTGTAAGTCTTAAAATAGGCAAATTAAAACCACAATGAGATACAGCTGCATACCTACTAAAATGGTAAAATTTTAAAAAGCTGACCATACCAAGTAATGACAAGAATGTGAAAAAACTATAACTCTTATACACAGCTGGTGGGAACGTAAAATGGTATAGCCACTTTGAAAAACAGTTTAGCAGTTGTTTAAATTGTTAAACATACACTTACCATGACTGCTCAGTCATTCCACTCCCAAGAGAAATAAGCATATGTCCACACAAAAGCTTGCACAGAAATACTCATAACAGCTTTATTGGGAGATTGGTGGGGTGGGCGCCAGGGCACCATGAGGACACTTGGAGCTGAGGTAAGTACAGTCTCTTAATCACAAAGATGACTGATTTGGTGCATGTGTCAATGCCGATTGCATCGTACTCTTGAAGTGTGTGCAGCTTATTGCATGTCCAGTATATCTTGGTAAAGCTTTTGAAGATATTAATGGCTCCACATTCAAGGGATTCTGGCAGAACTATTGTTTTCCATCTTCAGATACTAATTATACTTTGGTAAAAGTACTTCAGAACTTTATTTTTAAAGTAGCAGGAAGGAAACTAAAAGTTATCAACATTGCTAATTAAAAAACTATGTTGTATACTTTAAGAAAAAGTACAAGTAAAAATGAAGAATTCTCAGTCAGTAACTAAAACCACACCTGACATCATTCTCACCCACAAATGGAACCCTCACTGCCCGTCCCCGGGAGGGTGCCGTCTGCCTGTGCCCTGCGGGGCCCCGGAGCGGGACCCTCGGGCTCTGAGAGCTGCACCACCGTCTCCAGTTGCTCTCCAAGCTCCTCTATCAGAGGCCTGGCTCCCCCAGGGGCCCGCGCTGAGGCCAGTAGCTCTCCCCGACAGGCATCAGCCCTTGGGACAGCCAAGCGTCCGCACAGCCCACGGCCATCAACACGCAGGGCGCGGCTTTCATCAAGAACGGGGCCTTGCAAGGACCGTCCTCTCCTGGCTCCCCTGCCTGCGAGCCCTTCTGGCTCTGAGTCTGGGTCTGCGGTCCCGGCTGAGGAGGTGCTGCTGTCGGAGTCCTCGGAGCCACTGGCCTCAGAACTGGAGGGTGGTGTTGGCCTGGAGGCGGGGCGGGCTGCTTCTTCCTCACAGACGAGCAGAGCAGCTGCCTCCAGTTCATTCACTTCCAACCCCAGCTGGGCCTTTGTCAGAGGGGCTTCCTTCAAGGCTTCTGCAAGAGCTGCCAACTTTGTGGACCTTGGAAACCATGGAAGAAGAAGAAATAGTCAGATATTCATTACCTGGCCTGTGGGCACAGGGAGCCATGCTTAAAGCAATGACGCCCTGGAGCTGATGCACCCTTCCCATGACACCAGGACATGCACCCAGCAGATCAAAGCCCTCACTGATACGGAGCCAGTCACGCATGACTGGGGAGCCCGCGAGCCTTCCTTTATGATCTCAGGATGAGGAAGGGCCTTGTAGCCAAGACTCAAAATCCAGAAGCCACAAAAGCAAAGCAAAAATGGGCAACTTCAACTAACAGAGACCAGCAACTTCTGTAGCAAAACACTAAAGCCATCGCCACTGAAGTCCAAAGCTGTGTGCAAATTGAGAGAAGTACCCGCAGCTCCTATCACAGCACAGGCCCCATGTCCACAACCCACCAGTGACACGGATAAAAGATGTCAGCAGGCAACTCTCACTGAAGGAAACACAAATCCTCTTGAATATATAAAAAGGTATTTAGCTTCAGTCAAATAAGTGAAATACAAATTGAAGTCACACAGATAGTGTTTTTATTTATCAAACTGCAAAAATCCAAGCATTTGATAACCCTGCCCAGGCTGTGGGGGAAGGTGCCACCATTTGCTGGTGGTAAGAGAGGAAGCAGGCACAGCCCCACAAGGAGCACTTGGCAACAGCTTTCAAAATGGGAAATGTCCATACTCCTGACCCAACAAAACTGTTTTGGAAATTAAACACGTGCTACACAACACAGGCCCGAGGTTTTTACTGTATCATTGCGTTTAGTGCCTCAAATGGGAAACAACCAAATGTCCATGAATCCGGGACCAGCGACTAATCCTGGCACATCCATACCAAGGATGTAAGTCCATAGCTGCATAAAAAATAAAGCATTCCATGGGCTAACCAAGACCCATTGTTTATTTTTAAGTCTTTGTGAACATAATACCTATTCAAAAGTTTCAAATGTACAACAAAGAAAAAAAGCAATATTAGAGAGTAGCAGAGACTGCTTTTTATTTTTTTTATAAAAAAAGGTTTCATGATATTTCAGAAAATATTTTTCTAAATCTGTCACATTCTGTTAAACTGAGTAAATAAACTTTTCATTAAATTGGATGTACTGAGTTTTTTGTTTTTGCAAGAAGCAACACAAAATATATTGCAGTTCTCCAAACATGGTCTTCATTGCTCTACAGAGGAATCTGATGTGACTACTGTGCAAAGGGGCAGCAAGTGAAGAGGTCATGGCTCTGCTTCCCTAACTTCAAAGGTTAAATAAGCGTAGTCTGTCCCATATTTTGAGCATGAGGCTTCATTTTTTTTTCTTTTTTAAAATTTATTTTATTGATGTTTTACAGAGAGGAAGGGAGAGGAATAGAGAGTTAGAAACATCCATGAGAGAGAAACATGGATCAGCTGCCTCCTGCACACCCCTTCTGGGGCTGTGCCCACAACCAAGGTACATGCCCTTGACCAGAATTGAACCCGGGACCCTTCAGTCCGCAGGCTGATGCTCTATCCACTGAGCCAAACCGGTTAGGGCAAGGCTTCATTTCAATAGAGCTGAAGAGAATGGAACCTGCAGGGGGAGCCACTGAACAAGGTGGTAATTTTCATCTATGCGCCAACATATATTTGAGACACTTTTGTTTCAAAATATTTAGCGTAATAATGAGTTTGTGCAGCATAGCTTCCCCTGCCCTGCCTCTCCAGTGTAACCACAAACAGAAGCTCCACTATAAGGTGTCTGTGTCGCGGGGAGGGGGGGCGGGTACAGTGGGGAGGATGGGATAAGGGCAATAGCCATCACTGATGGGCAACTCCCTCCTACGTGGGGACAACCCTGTTTCAGTGCTAGACTTTCCAGAGCTGAGGAAAGGGACGGTGCCCAGGGTAAAGCGGAGACGAGGTGACATTGGCAGAGTCAATAATTCCCCAAAGGGCTGGAAGCCTGGCATGAAGTCTGGCCAGTGGTGGCAGCTTCAAGCATACCGATGGAGTAGGGCGGCTGTAATATAATGTGCATCCATGTTCAGGACAGTTGTTGTTGATGTCCACCATACGTGTACACTGAAACTTCACTTCCAGTGGTGAAAGGCTCAGCCTGAGCACGAGATGGGACATCTCTTCCCCAAGGCCCTATCAGCCTGAGCACCGGCCAAGCCTCTCTCTTGCTAAGGGAGGTCCTGTCCGCACGACACAGCTTTACAAAATAAAGAGCAATGACCTTGGGAAAAAAAAAATATGTCTCTAATTAAGCTGCGATATTAGAAATAAATATTTTCAAATAAATGCCTTTCTTCAGTAAATGTGAGAATATACATATCCCATTTTTAATAGTCATGACAAATACTTTCCACAATACATGAAGAATGATGTTTCACAAACATCACTGCACAGCCCCACGAAGAAGTTTCAGTTTTATTCCCACACTAGTGGCCCGGTGCACAGATTCGTGCACACTGAAAATAAAATAATTATGGCCCAGCTCCCAGGTGCTGAGGTGACCCCCACTGCTGCCGCTGGTTGCCATCTGCAGGGCAATCGGTTGGGGCCAGGCCACCCACCTAGCTCCCTCAGCAACTGGGAGCTGGCCCCGCTTCCCCCTGCTGGTCACCAATTGCCCCACAGATCGGCCCCCACTCGCACCCACCTTAGCTTGGCACCACCCACTCACCTGCTCCACCATCCCATCACAGTCCCATTGTCATGGGGGCCCACTGGAGATGGCAGCGCCTTCACTGCTGCCCACTGCCAGCACCGGGTCACCGACGCCCACCGTGTCCTGGGCCACTCTCTGATGGTCAGCGCATGTCATAGTGAGCGGTTGAACGACCGCCCAAAGGGACAATTTGCGCATCAGGCTTATATTATATAGGACTACAGATGATACAGAAGCTGAGGGTCTGAGCCCTGCTGGCCTTCCCAGCCACAAGGGTGCAGCGCCAAAGGCTGCGCAGTGCTCCTCCCACCCCCGTGGGTGTCCAGGCCTGAAGAGTTTCACCTCTGAGGACCTCCTTCCTTCCTCCCTTCCCAATTGGAGCTTGATCCCACATCCCCAAATAAGCCAATTCTGATTGGCACAGCCCAGAATTCTCCAAAGAAGCTATGACTGATACCCCTCACTGAGCAATCTCAGAGTTGATTCCAAGTCTGCCACTCCTTGAAGTATATACACCTAAGCTTTAACTACAGAGGTTTAGAATAAGAGAAAAGTGCTGAATTATTTTGGTGGATATTAGTAAACACTACAGTAGATAAGTCAATTCAAGTTGAAACTACTTTGATCTTTGTTATTATCCTATCTAATAATAGAGAAACATGGTAATTAACTGTAACTTCGCTACCCTTCCCATTGGCTAATCAGCGAGACATGCAAATTAACTGCCAACCAAGATGGCGGCCAGCAGCCAGGCAGCTGAAGCAAACAGGAGGCTTGCTTGCTCCAGTGATGGAGGAAGCCAACATTCCCTGCCTTCTGC